GAGAAAGACAAAATCTGGCCATGTTTTAGCGGTACGTTCATTCTCATTTTGCACATTTCGATAGTGGTGTGCGATCCCCAAAGCCTTGTCATGACTAACGGAGAGGAGTGATCTGGCCCCCTGCTGTACGCATATGCTATGCCATTTGCTGGAAAACGACTGCTTTGTAAAGATATGACACGGACGTGACGTGAAACACACACAAAAAAAAAAAAAAAAAAAAAAAACACGGCGGGTGATAAGCTGGACATGGGATCGACTGCAATTTGACGTTGCTCAGTCGGACAACGTCTTGTCTGGTATCTGATATGGTTACTGGAACCAGCTGGGCCCGGTGGTTACGCACTGGTCCCAGAGGGGAACCGGGCCCAGCCAGTTCTAGATATGGTTACATTGGAACCGGCTGGGCCCCGTTACGCACTGGTCCCAGAGGACAGAGGGGAACCGGGCCCAGCCAGTTCTAGATATGGTTACACTGGAACCGGCTGGGCCCGGTTATGCACCTGTCTCTTATACACATCTAGATGTGTATAAGAGACAGCACACACACACACACACACACACACACACACCTGTCTCTTATACACATCTAGATGTGTATAAGAGACAGGTTCTAGATATAGTTACTGGAACCGGCTGGGCTCAGAGGGGAACCGGGCCCAGCCGGTTCTAGATATGGTTACTGGAACCGGCTGGGCCCAGTTACGCACTGGTCCCAGAGGACAGAGGGGAACCGGGCCCAGCCGGTTCTAGATATGGTTACATTGGAACCGGCTGGGCCCGGTTACGCACTGGTCCCAGAGGAACCGAGAGCGCGCTTTGCGAGGAATTGTTGCCATTGCTATTTGGTTTCTTTTTTTTTTTTCTTTTTTTTTTTTTGGGTTTCAACTTTCAACAGTTTGGGAGTTGACCTTTTTTCCTTTGCGCATGCATATGTCGACTACAGTGTGGTGACCATCGCGGGGAATGGCTACCTGGTTTCACCCGGGGCAAGGTCCCACTTGCACGGATTAGGAGATTTCGGCCGTTGATCTCGGCTATCTACGGTCTCTATCTCTTAATTCGTGCAAGTGGGACCTAGCCCCCGGGTAGGGGGGGCGGGGGGGACCATCGATCGAGTCCCTGTTCACATGTGTGTGCAACAAAGTGGTACCCTTCGGAGTCGTCATCAGGAATGCGCTGGCTGCACATGTTCATCGTCATGAATGCGGCTGTAGTTCCTGCAAATGTTCTCCCGTGAGTAGAAGGATTTGGCATTTCTCTGGCCGTTTCTGCACGTAAGTTTTTGGCGTTAACTGCGACGCAGATACGTGCAGCTAACGGCAAGTGTCTGTGCGCCCTTAGAGGCATCTGTCTGGCCTGACAAGATCCTACCCACCCCAATGCAGCGACGACGGCACCCCCATTGGTTATTGGTTGTGTGTAGGGAAGTAGTATATCTCTTGTGATCAGTTTAGTATCTGATCCGTGGCCCATCGGACCAAAAAAAAAAAAAAAAAAAAAGACCATAGCTCCCACAGGGAAGGGCTCTTTCGTTCCGAGCTTGCTGTTTTCGATCATCTGTAGGCTTTAGTACAACCATCTTCCCCCCGAATAGAACGCATGGACGTGGGCATTGATTATGACTGCATCTGGCGGCAAACCCACCTTGAATGCATTCGTGAAGGCGGCCTGATCTTCCCCGAACCGGAATAGAACGCATGGACGTGGGCATTGATTATGATTGCATCTGGCGGCAAACCCACCTTGAATGCAATGCATTCGTGAAGGCGGCATGTATCTTTCCCCGAACCCGAATAGAACGCATGGAGGTGGGCATTTATTAGGACTGCATCTGGCCGGAAACCCACCTTGTATGCATTCGTGAAGGCGGCCTGTATCTTCCCCCGAACCCGAATAGAACGCATGGACGTGGGCATTGATTATGACTGCATCTGGCTGCAAACCCACCTTGAATGCATTCGTGAAGGCGACCTGTATCTGGGGAAAGACGGAAGTGATGTCGCTCGCTTCGCTGAGAGTCCACTTCCCCCCCCACCCCCTCTCTCTCTCTCTCTCTCTCTTCTTAATGCTTTATTATCGTTACTATTTCAAGTGCGCAAATGCCGACGAATCGACAGGGGCCCTCTCCCCCCCCCCCTTCATCTTGAACACCACGTTAGTGTTGGAAGTTTCACTATTTGACACCGGGAACATCTCCTACTTCGATTCCGTTTATCAGATCGTACAGTCCAAGGACGGAACGAAGTTGTTCTATGCGGAAGAGATGTATATGCAGGGTTCCTCCTCTTCGGGGTCGATGGTGGGTAAGGTGACAGTGGTGCCGATAAGCGAGAAGACGATGACCATCACCTCAGAGACTAGCATTCTAGCGGGAACAGACCTAGGAGGTGTAGAAGATGGTTCTGGATTAGGAGTGCGGTTCCGTAAGCCAGCGGGGATGTCCCTGAGTGGGGACGGCAAGTCTTTGTACTTAGTCGATCAAGAGAGCGATGCTGTCAAAGTGATTGCCACGGATACGGGGCAAACCCGTACCCTAGTGAAGGGAGAGCCCATAGCTGGGCCATTGGCCATTGCTTCCCACCCCTCCCAACACCACCTCCTCTTCATCTCCACGGAATTCAACATCTGGGAACTAAATATAGCCACCAAGGCCTTTCGAATAGCCGCCGGCGCGGCGCGTTTCGGCTATTCCTCCGTTAGTCAGGAGAGAAGCACGGAGGTAGTTGTAGACTCCCCGCAGCTGAATAGCCAAGCTCTGTCTAAGGACGGCTTAATGCTGTACACAGCGGAGATGCCGGGTGTGATCAGGAGGTTGCGCGTGGGTAGAGGAGATATGCAGACGGTAGCAGGAGAAATGCAGTTCAGGGGGGACAAAGACGGGCGCCCGTTGAAGCAAGCGTTGTTCTCAGCCCCCATGGATCTGGTCTTGACCGACGATGGGTGTACACTTTTTGTGGCCGATTCCGCGAACGGAAAGCTGAGAATGATCAGCTTCTTCTCGCCTCACGGTGAGGCCTCGTCTGTCCAGTCGCTCGTCCGTCTGCCCGATGGCTTCGCTAGCCTCAGTCTCTGCCTCTCTCAAGATGAGCAGTACTTGCTTCTGGGAACCAACGCCAGCCGCATTTACCGGATCCATCTTAATCGAACGGTGCTCAACCCTGATTGCCTTGGCAATCGAGAGGAGGATAAGAGTGACACGACCTCGAGGAAGAGGACTGTGATGATCGCCGCCATCGCCGGGTCTGTGTCGGCCTTGGTCATCGTTGCCGGCTTAGCAGTCGCAGTCAAGAAGTTTACAGCCGCACGAGAGAAGGCCGAGATTCAGACGGACGCTGTCTCCAGAGCAGCAGCAGATAGATTAAAGAAACTGTCTCACACTGCACTCAATCAAGGTGGTGCTCCTCCTGAATCTACCGGTGTTTGATGTCAGTATCAGGGTGTTAAAGATGTCAAGTTCAGCTCGGTAATCAGACATGGTGGTCGTTGTGTTTGTGTGTTTTTTGGGTGGTGGGGACCACTTCTTCGATTGGTGCGTGGCGCGAACTGTCTCCAACTGCACTCAAATCACGGTGCGCCGCTCCTCCTGAATCTTCGGGTGTTTGATGTCAGTATCAGGGTGTTAAAGATGTCAATCTCAGCTCGGTAATCAGACATGGTGGTCGTTGTGTTTGTGTGTTTTTTTGGTGGTGGGGACCACTTCTTCGATTGGTGCGTGGCGCGAACTGTCTCCCAACTGCACTCAAATCAAGGTGCGCCGCTCCCCCTGAATCTTCGGGCGTTTGATGTCAGTATCAGGGTGTTAAAGATGT